AGGTACCGACCACGTTAGTTAGTCGTTGTTGTCGTTACTTACTAACTAAACAAAAAAAACGAAAAAACGTAAACCTAACCGAACCACTACCACTAACAACAAACAAACAAACAAACAACACACACACACACACACACACACACACACACACACACACACACACACACACACACACACACACACTGGTACTCTCTGGGGCTAGATATTGAAATAAATTATACAGCAGGATCCAAGGTTCAAATGGAATTTACTTCAATCAATAGGTGGGCTGGCTGGACTTGTGGGATAATTTTCAGAGTAAGGGTTAATTATATTCTATAGATGGACTCAACTAGATAGTAAGATGTGTGAGGAAACTCTAAACATATTCTTCAAAGGGAGTTTAAACTTACGTAGTGGTGAGAAAGCTTTTGAAATTGGGAATAATCAAATTATTAGAGTAGCTAAGTCAATGAGGAGTTTGGAAATAGGAGAGATAAAGCATACCAAGTTAAATTATAGTTTTAAAGGTAAGTTTGCAAGATCTGCAGATAAACATAGTAGATACATGAATTAGCTTAGCTGCTACAACTCTTATTATTAGAAGCAAAGTAGATGTTCAAGAATGTAGTTGAAATGGAAGATTATGATGGAATGGGAATTATTGAAATTTCAGATTATAAGCTTTTTTAATAGTGTTAGATATTTTATTTTTAAAGATTGGTGTGGCTCTATATAAAAGGTGAATTTTTTAGCTTTTGGGGTTGAAGACATGACAATGGCTATCAAGAGGTTGAACCTATATTATAATAAGGGGTTTCATAGGTAGAGAGTTTTTAATTGGTAGTTGTTATACATCACCTGATTAGACAGATTAGGTCCATGAGAAATTGTATAATGAGATCAGTTTTAACAAATAAGAATACTGATGCAATAATTATGGAAGACTTTAATTTTAGATACATTAACTGGGATTATATGGAGTCATATTGTAAAGGGGAGAGTGATTTCTTGAAGTAATTGAGGATGGTTTTCTATGCCATGTTTTTGTTTTTAAAGGGAAAATGCCATTTGATATTTAACCACTAAGCAGCAGGGTATGGTTGCAAGAGTTGAAGTGTGGGGGGAACATTTGGGGAAGAGAGATCATTGCATATTTGGGTTTGATGTTGGGTTTAACAGAAATAAAATTTTATTTTTGAATTTTCAGCAAGCCAATTATGATGCCATCAGATTAGATTTATCATTAGTGAATTGGGATGAATTAAAAGGTTGTGTGGAACAATCTATAATTTTTTTATTTTTTTTATAAATTGCTTTGGTAAGTATGCTTCTAAAAAATAAAGAAAAAGGTTAACAGAGAAGATCAAACCTACTTAGCATACTAAAGAAATTTATTGAAAGAGAAAACCTGGAATAAATACCGGAAGTTTAAGAAAGCCAAATTGACAGATAGGTTGTAAGATTTACAGAACTATAGAAATCTAGAGATTTGGTTAAAAAAAAAATAGAAAAGTCCAAGAGGGCTTATGAGAAAAAGCTGGCTGATAATGTTAAAACTTGACAGTAAGGATTTCTAAGTACATTCAAAATGTAAGCAAAATGTTAAAATGATGGTTGTTCTATTAAAGGATGCTGAGAACAAGGTCTTTGTTGAAGAGTGAGTTGTTTAAGCTTTTAAATGTTCTTTTTGGTCTTTACAAGTGGACTTCATAAGATTAGACATTGAGCAGGTCCCTGAGAGTTGAAGAGGTGCTAATGTTCTTTTGTTTTTAAAGATTTAAAAAAGAAAAAAAGATTTTACAGAATAATTTAGTGAAATATCATGTAAAGAAAGCCAACATAGGTTCATCAAAGTGAAATATTCCCATTATATTTTTTTTGGGTTGGTGGTGAAAAGGATGTAATCTTGGTGTACTTAAGTTTCCAAAAATGTTTTTATAAGATGCCACATAAAATTTAGTTAAAACCACATTGGCAAGGGATGCATAAAAACCAGTTAGTTGAATTGTAAAGTAAAGTGGTTGAATAAGACAAAGAAAAAGGTTGTTATTAATGAGTCCAGTCAATACTTGGCACTTGCTTTTTCTTAACTGTATTAATGATACTGGTAGAGGCATAATAATTAAATTACTAAAGTTTCAGATGACTTTAAACTGATATTTCTAGCTGCATTGAGGATATTCTGTAACACTATGTTCTCTCCAAGTTCTTCTGTTCTCCGCACAACTGAAC